GCCATTATGTCGTTTCCAAATTTCAGGCGTTGTGAATTGCACCACGGTGCTATTTTTCGCACACATGGAGTCCAACTGACCTTACTATACAGTGCAGTCAACAAAGTCAAAATTATATATATATATATAAATATATATATATATATATATATATATATATATATATATATATATATAGTTAAATTCCCAGATGAATTCTGTGGACAAGACAGATTGGTATCAAATGACAATTGTAAAAAATCAGGCATTTTGCCGACGCGTTTCGTCTTCCAACTTTTTTCAAGGCAAAACATTTCGATTTCATTTTTGCCTTGAAAAAGTCGGAAGACGAAAGGCGTCGGCAAAATGTATGATTATTTTCCAATATATATTTATATATATATATATATATATATATATATATATATATATATATATATATATATATATATATATATATATCTTAATGGAATTCGTTATGACAGTGTTGGACTCTACTATGAGCAATAAGAATGTATAATTACTCTCCAAGCTAAAGAGAAGAATTGCGATGAAATCGATCACAAACGAAAATGACATGTTCATCTTTAATTAATCATAGCTAAGGGACAGAATTTCATGAAGGATTGAAATTGTTCAAATATATATACATCTATCTATCTATCTATCTATCTATCTATCTATCTATCTACATACATATATGTATATATATTATTCCAGGTTAATTTTCTACCTTTCTAACCTTTTATCTTTTTTGTCCTGGAGTAACGAGGTGCCTCACACGTTTCACGTACGATTTAATAATTATGTAATTTTACACTGCTCTTTGGATTTGTTATAGCTAAAACGACTCCCTTTCATGCCAAACGTTTTATTGATTTAGTCGGATCATTTCTAATTAACATAACTCTAAGTTGAAATGATGATCCCTCTTCCTGTTGTGACCTCCTGATCCAGTTTACCTCTCTACTGTTCTCACATTTTTAAACTTATTCACCGTTCTCTTGAAGTTTCTTGGATGAACTTTGAAAATGGAAGCCAGAGTATGATTTTTGGTAACATTTTTGAAGGCACGAATGATTTTTTTCTTCGTATCATTGCCCAGTCGTGAAGATATAGTGAGGCTGAAAAAATAAAACGATTTTAACCTGTTCTTTTCTAGTTGAATAACTCAAATGGTTTTTCATTGATTCTTGTAACGAATGGGATACCGATGATTAAACGTCTTATCTGAAAACCTGAAAAAAAGAAACTAGAAATTAGTTTAGTGTTTTTTTTTTAGATATTAAACATTTTGTCGGTGAACAATTATGCCATTACAGGCGGTATGAATATATATATATATATATATATATATATATATATATATATATATATATATATATATATATATATATATATATATGCGCAGGTATGCAGAAAACAGAAAGAAAAAACGTTGGGTGCATAATCCAGGGTTCCTTAGTATTTTTTTTATTTTTAAAAGACAGTGCTCCATACAGAAGTAGAGCTATATTATAATAATATTTTTTGTTTAAAAATATGATTCCTTCGCTACATAAGAGTTCTCATGTTTCAAAAACGAGCGAGAAATTTTAGGAATTTTAAAATTTCGCTTGAAGATGAAACGGGACTAAACACCTCAATTCAACTTAATTTTAATAATTATTTGGATGGTTTCGACTCTCGTTTTTAAACATGAGAACTCTTATGTAGCGAAGGAATCATATTTTAAACAAAAACTATTATATATATATATATATATATATATATATATATATATATATATGTGTGTGTGTGTGTGTGTGTGTGTGTGCGTGCCTGTGTGTGTGTGTTTCTTTTTTAATATGTCGTGTCCCTTCAGGATGCAGCTGATCAGGGCCCTCCACATCTTCCTGTACATTGTATCTCTTAATATGTTTTGTCTTTTTATTATATCTCTTAAACCCTTTGCTCAAGGTCATCAAGTATCATATGCACTGTTTTCCTCTGTCTCCTCTTCCTCCAATCTATCCCGTGAGTATCAAATTTTCCAAGCCCTTCTTCCTCATTATGCGCCCCAGAAATTTCAACTGCCTCTTCCTAATGTTAAGTATAAATTTCATTTATGATTCCATCCTCACCAAAACCTCGGTGTTATTTACATGTTCGGTCGCTGATATCCACAACATCCTTCTGTAGATTCACATTTCTGTTGCTTCAGTTCGGAGGAGATTTTCCAGCATTCGCTGCCGTACAGGAGAAGAGATATCACGTAACAGTCCAATATTGATGACTTTGGTTGAAACGAAATTTCTCTGTCTCTTTATACTTTGCTTAGCTTTTGGAATGCACCTTTGACCATCCCAATACATTTTCGGATATCAGTGTTACACTTTCCGTCCTCTCTTAGAATATTTCCCAGATGGGCACCTCGAGGCGGTGTAATGGTTAGCAAGCTTGTCACGTCAGATCAATTACGACTGAATAGTGAGTTCGATCCTCACTGAGTGCTCCATACTTTCGGCCTTGTGCCACATCTAAGCTACGCTTGGAAAATTATTAGAATATTTCTTAGATATCTACATTTCTGTACCTGCTTGATTTTACTATCCTCAACCTGTAATTTGCATTTTCGTTCTCACCCTTTTGTTGATCACCATGCATTCTATCTTTCTTTTTAGACCTTTCTACTCGCTTTCTTTCGTTACCATCTGAATACAGAACAAATAAATATATTACGTCATAAACACATGTTTGGGCGAAGACAAAAGAAGTTGTAACAGATGGAAGTGTGAATTCAAATTGTTTTTATAGAATTAGTGATATTTGAATAGTTAAAAAATATTTTCTGTTTTTGTCTCTACATTGGTTCTATCTATATTTACCCTCCCCATCCTGCTTATTATTTTCCACTTTTCTTCCTTTTTTTTATTTTTCTTTTTCTTGGCTACTTTTAATTTTCTTTTTTCTTTTATTTGTTTACGTTGCCTAACATTATTTTCAGTGTTTCCCTCGCCAAGATTTTATTCTTTTTTTTCTTTCTTCCCTTCTTATGTTCACAATTTTTACTTTTTTTTAAATACATTGTCTCTCTCTCTACTTCTTCCTCCTTAATGTCCATTCATTCCTCTCTTTGTTATACTTCTTTTCTTTTCTCCCCCTCTTCCTTTGTCTCTTCCCTCATTAATTTTCTTTCTTTCTTTCTTTCTTTCTTGCTCCTGCTATCTATCTATCTATCTATCTATCTATCTATCTATCTATCTAAATTAATAAATAAATAAATACATTCATACATAGGTAGTGTATCGTGCGATCTATCAGTTCATTTATTCGGTCTTTCGTTCTTTCTTTCTTTCTTTCTCCTCCTCCTAATTATCTATCTATCTATCTATCTATCTATCTATCTATCTATGTAAACAAATACTTGCCAGTGTATAACATCGTGCTAGCTATGTCTTCTTTCTTTTCTTTTTCTTTCTTTCTATCTATCTATCCATAAATGCAAAGAAAAAAAAATCAATAATTTAGCTATTCGTTTCAGTTTTATGCGAACATCCTCATTAGATTAAAAAGAAAAGGAAAAGACGGAAATGTTGTTCGGAGGACTGGTGTTTCTTGTTCACTGGCGATATTAGACGAAGGAAATAGATCAGATTTTCTTTTGATTGGCTTCCTGAATATGATCGCTCTTCCCGCGTGAAGATGACACGCAACGCCGAATGAAAATCCTAATATTTACAACTGAGATACGTTCTCAGTATATCATTGATTCGATCGATACCTTTCTCTTTGATTCTAATCTCTCCCCAAATTTGATGAGTTTGGCATGTAACTTTCAAATCCCAGACGGGAAGAATGACGTGGCGCGTTTGATAAACATCTTGAGGAGATAATCATGTGTTTTGCATCATTGTTACAATGTACTGTAATATACAGATAGTGAATTTTTCGATTTAAAAAAAAAAAATAATTTCACGCTAAGCAAGGCAATAAAGCCACTAAGACTCCGTGAATAAATACGAGAAAAATATGAGAAAAAGAAAACCATTTCAGTGATAAGAATAAAAGAACATGAATTAAGAAGACAGAAGATAACGTTTGGCATTGCATTTAAATTATGGAAGTTGACGGAAATGGAAGTAGCAAGAAGAGAGTACTACAAACGTGAAGTGCGAGGGAATAAATTGTTAG